ACAACCTGCAAATTTGGGGAAAAAAAAACTAAACCAATAATCACTCAGACAAAAGTCTTGTATCTAGAATGCATAATGAACTAAAAAACAATTAGGGACTAAAAATTTAAAGACCCAATTGAAAAATGGGCATCTGAGATGAATACACACTTCTCAGAGGAAGAAATATTAAGACAAATAAATACCTGAGAAAATGCTTCACGTTACTGGCTGTTCACAAAATGCAAATTAAAACAACATTGAAACACCATCTCACACAAGAAATAATAGCAATCATGAAGAAGTCACATAACAACAAATGCTGGAGAGGCTGCAGGAACAAAGGAAGCCTTCTCCATTGCTGGTGGAAATGTCCACTGGTACAACCACTATGGAAATCAGTGTTGAGACTCATCAAAAATCTAGGACCGGAAATTCCATTCAATCCAGCTATTCCCCTACTGGGTATTTTCACAGAAGTACTGGAAACATCAAAAGACAATGACAGAGGGCCAGGGAGATGGCTCAGTAGAATAAGCGCTTCCCTGGCAAGCACAAGGGCCTGAGTTCAATCCCCGGTTGCACCAAAAAAAAAGAATACCAGGAGAATGGGGCTGGTGAGATGGCTCAGTGGTCTAAAGCACCTACTCTGAACAAGCTTAGCAAAGCACAGGGACCACGGTTCAATCCCCCAGCACCACATGCCAGCCAGCCCCGCCCCCTGGTGGGCTGAGCTGGATACACACACACACACACACACACAAATAAATAAATAAATTTAAAAAATTTTTAAAAAAAGACAATGATATATTTGCACCCATTTTTATAGCAGCACAGTTTGTCTTAGCCATATCTTGGAAGCAAGCAAAATGCCCATCACCCAGCAAATGGATGAAAAACATGTGGTATTTTTATACAATGGAGTATTACTCAGCTATAAAAAAGGTAACTCTTCCTTGGTGCTTCCCATGGAGGTGGCAGCCATCTCCCACTTGGCACCATGGCAGCCCTCAGACCCCTCATGAAGCCCAAGAACATCAAAAAGAGGACCAGGAAGTTCATCTAGCATCAGTCAGACCGATATGTCAAAGTTAAGTGCAACTGGCAGAAACCCAGAGGCATTGACAACAGGGTGCAGAGGAGGATCAAGGGCCAGATTTTGATGCCCAACATAGGCTATAAAAGTAACAAAAAGACAAAACACTGCTGCCCAGTGGCTTCTGGAAATTTCTGGAGCACAATGTTAAGGAGCTGGAGGTGCTGCTGATGTTCAATAAGTCTTACTGTGCAGAAATTACTCACAATGTCTCCTTTAAGAACCGTAAGACCATCGTGGAAAGAGCAGCCCAGCTAACTATCTGAGTCATCAATCCCAATGCCAGGCTATGCAGTGAAGAAAATGAGTAGACGTCCTGTGTACATGTTTATTTGTCCTTCAATAAAACCACCAAAAAATAAATAAGATAAACTTGAAGCCTTCATATGTAAGTGGATGCACTTAGAGGCTATACTCACAAGTGAAATAAACCAGACCCATATGTGTAAATGTTCTGTTGTCTCCCTAGTGTAAGAACCTGAAAGAAGAAATATAACCTGAATGGTATAACAGGTGTAGTAAAACAGAAAGAAACAGAACTTAAGGACTAAACAACGAAGAGGAGAGAAGGGAGAAAAAATAAGAAAAAAGGTAGGGGAAAAACATGTAAATATATATCCAAGATGGCTGAGGTGATTGTATTTAAAATCTTCATCTGTTTTTTCAAAACAACAATTAATTTGTAGAATTTTCACCTTGGCAAATTCTATATACTGATATCTGCAATCTAAGCAACTCATCGAGGACAGCAATGTGTAATACAAAAACCATGCTTGAATGCCTGTCATCTTGGTCTTCCAAATGTGTAGCATGTCTAATATCATATCAGTTATTACTGTACTCTGTTTAAAGCACTTTTCAAATAGTTACAAAAGAGAGAAGAACAAATATTTCAGCTTTCTTGAAAGCAAGCAGTAATATGCAACCACATATCCAATATTACATTATTGCATCTCTTAATCTGCGCAATGGATTTGATGATAAAAATGGATAATATCTCATGCACTTTTAATCAGCTATTCTTGATTTGAAAATCTGTGTAACATATGTATATTGTATGCTTCCCTGCTTCTTTGTTTCTGATTTTTGTTCTTGCTTTTGCTTTTACTTTTCAAGATAAAATTATGTTAAACAAAAAAATAAATAAGTAATTTTCCAGAGATGTAATACTCTGATAAAAACTAAACTTCAGTTAGTATTTAAATGTACTCATAAATGCACTGGAGCTCTTTGTAAAGAGTAATTTATTTCAAATTAAACAGCCATCTAAGAAGTAAAACTAAGAAGTAATAGACACCAGTTACCAAGATCTCTGTGATCACAGATCAGTTGATGAAAAACAACAGAATACACAAAGGGGAGGAGCTTGCATCAAATTTCAGTAAAGATTGCAGGCTATATCTTTCTAACATCCAGCAGTATTGTTTGAAATTATTTAGACTACTCGAGTAAAAGTTACAATAAATGGATTGGGCAGAAAGTTTGGTGGTATAAGTGCCTGCCTGGCAAGCACAGGGAGTCAAGTTCTATCTTGGTCCTGGTACCACAAACTGTGTCCACCACACAACTGGGCATGGTGGTGCACACTTGCAATTCCAGTGCTGGGGAGTCTGATAAAGGACGATCACTATGAGTATGAGCTGTGTAGCGAGATTCTGTATCAAAAAAAAAGAGAAGTAAAGTAAAATAAAATAGAAGATAAAGGACCATCCCTTTGTCAGATTTTATTTCTTCTTTTGAGTTCTTACACTACGGAGAAAATAGGTACTTACACATATGAATCTAGTATACTTCACTTATGAGTAAAGGCTCAAGTTTCATCCACTTACCTATGAAGGACTCAAAAAGAAATAAAAGCTGAAAGATATAACAGTCATAGTTAAATGGAATGAAACAGAACTTAAGGATTAAACCATAAAGCGAAAGAAAGGGGAAAAGACAAGAAACGAGGTAAGGGCAAAACCATACATGTATATATTCAAGGTGGATTAGGCAATTGTCCTAAGTATTTCTATCAGGTTTTTTAAAAAAGCAGTTAATGAATAGAATTCTCACTCTGAGTAACTTTCTATGTTGATATCTGTGAACTAAGCAACTACATGGAGGACTGATAGGTCAGGACTCAAAGTTTCCCTCCCTTGATTTCCTAGATAACCTACACCAAACCCAATCACAACCCTGCCTCACACTGTACTCTGGTCTCAGCTCACTTCCCCTTGACCCACGTAGGTCTCTGTTCACTCCCTTCTGACATCAACAAAATTAAACTACAAGGAGGATAAATGACGTTCACTTGTGATCTGGCTGTTCTAGCCCACAATCACCCTACCTGAAAGATGCTATGCAGTCTACTGCCCCCACCCCTTGTCCAGTGCTCTCTTGGTCCATGATACAGCCCCCGTGTGTGCTTCAATAAACATGTTTTACTCGTGTCAGTGTGTCTGGTCCGGTAGTGCATGGGTTTGGCCCAGGATTGACGCTTGATTTGGTGCTGAAAACTTGGGAGGGACGCCTAGGTGCAGAGCCCGGAAAGTTCTCACTCGACTGGGGCAATTGCTGTCCCTGTGGACCACAGCTTTCCACACTGCCCATTGCTGACACCCACATCCAGACACCTCATTCGAACCTGTAAATCCTTCTTTCCTTCCATGTCTCTCCCTCCTCTGTCTCTTCTCCCGGAATTAGTCTTTCCTCTCCTCATTGACTTTTCCCAAAATCACCTTCTAGCCTCTGCTTCCAGTTTTTTCCCCTGTGACTCCTCGGACTCATACGTGAATTCCACAGACCCTGAATTCCTCCTGGATTCTCCAACAATGACATCCTCTTCTGGTTTTTTTTGTTCTTTATTTCTTTGTGATCTCTCTCTGAGGACTACTATTTCTACTGTCTGGATGTCTCCTCCCGCAGCTTATAGCCAGCCCTGGCCCTGCTCTACGAAGTCATGTCTACACACTCAGCTGCTCCTTCCCCTTACTTAGCCCGCTTGGAGGCCTTTGTCTCTATGTCTCTTTTTGGGACTCCCGACACAAGATAGTCCCCTTCATTCTCCTCTCACCAACCCTCCACACTGTCTTCTCACCACTATGGGGAATTCTTCTTCAATATCCTCTCAAAACTATTCTTCTGTCCTAGACTGTCTTAAGTCTATCCTTAGAGGCCCCTTAAGCTTATCGGACCTCAAAGTGAACCGCCTAGCTTTCCTCTGCGTCTGACCACTATACGAATTGGATAATGGCTCAGTCTGGCCACCAGATGGCACTCTAGACTTTAATATACTCCACGACCTAGCTAACTTCTGTAGCTAGGGTCATCTAGGAGTTCAGGAAAAGGCGGCCCAGAGGGGAAATCTTCTAAGCTAAGAGCCTTAGGAATTTGGGCAAGAAGGAATTGCTAAGTTTTGCTAATTATTCGGACCAATAATAAATGGTACGAAGTCCCACAAGTCACCAGGCTATTTTCACGCTTAGTAGCTGTGCCCAACTCTGTCTTGCTTGCAACACTTAGCAATTCCTTCTTGCCCAAATTCCTAAGGCTCTTAGCTTAAAAGATCTCCCCTCTGGGCCGCCTTTTCCTGAACTCCCAGATGACCCTCCCCCATGTCTCCTCGCACATCAGCCCCCTGCTGATCCCCTCCCTCCTCCATACCAGGGAGCACCTACGCCTTCCCTTCCCTCTCCTCCGAAACTTGAGACCTCCCCGCCCCTTCTCCTTGCCCCCTCCATCACTGCGCCCTCTTCGTCTGACTCCCCCTGTAGTTCACTACCTCTGTCTTCCCCCCACCTGGTCTACTCCATTCTCCTGCACACACCCTAAACAACTTTATTCTCAAATCCCCACCTCTGGGCTTTTTCCCTTGTGTCAGGTGGCAGGTGTTGAGGGTTTAGTCAATGTCTACCAGCCCTGTTCCCTGACGGACATTTCTGAGATGGAGAAAAGTCTGGTCTCCTTTACCACAGACCCCACCACCTACACAAAGGAATATCAATATCTTACTCAAGTGTACCAACTAGCGTGGAATGACATCTATGTCATCCTATACTACACCTTAACCCCAGAGGAAAAGAAATCTGTCTGGCTGACCGTGGAGGCACATGCAGACAACGTACACTGCACGAAACAAGCCTCCTCACCCGTAAGCCCAAGCAGTCCCTAGAAAAGATCCAAATTGGAATTACCAACCAGAAGAGCCAGGTGTCCGTGCCTGGAACCAAATACTTGGCTGTTTGATTTCAGGGCTCAAAAAGTCTCCACAAAAGGCTGTCAACTGGCATAAACTGAGAGAAATTACCCAAGGTCTAAATGAAAATCCAGCTACCTTCATGGTACGCCTCTTGGAGGCCCTCACCCAATTACACTCTGGTAGACTCAGCTAACCCTGAGGTGGAGCTAGTTCGAAATAACCATTTCATTTCCCAGTCATCTGTGGATATAATGATAAAGCTCAACTGACTTGAAGATTGCCCCAAAATCCCCCAACGAGAGGTCCTAAACCTGGCCTTCAAGGTCTACAATGGGATGGAAGAACAGGAGGCTGAAAATAAATTGGCTCTTACAAAAAAGAGGTACTAGCTCCTGGCAGCCACCCTTGGGCCCTCCCAACAAAAAAAGACTCCCAAGCCTAATGCCAAATTACCCCATGGACTCTGCTTCAAATGCAAACAAGAGTCATTGGGCATGAGAATGCCCAAACCCGGGGCCTCCCCCAGGGCCATGTGTGCAAGCAAACTGGCCACTGGAAGGTGTACTGTCCCTCACTCAAAAAGGGCGCAATGTCTGCCACCAAGGTAGACAAGCGGCGCTCATGGACCTACTGGGCCTTGTGGGAGATGATGAAGACTGAAGATCCCTGGGCCTCCAGCCCCCATGGAAGTCCAGCTAACCTTGGAGGAACCTAGGGTTGCTGTCCAGGTGGCAGATAATCCTGTTTCATTTGCTTTAGACACGGGGGCCTCCTAGTCAAACTTCCCATTATACCCAGGGCCAACATTCCCTTCAAATATCACTGTGGTCAGAAGTGAGGGCCTACCTCATCAACCACCCTCAATGGGGTCATACCCTGCTTAATAGGATCAATACTTTTTGCACACTCATTCCTCATTATGCCCCCCTGAGCTACACTCCTATTGAGGCATGATGCCATAACTAAACTCCACATCTCTCTTTCTTTTCCAAAACTCTTGACTCGCTCTCTTCTACCAGCCTTATTACCCTCTAAGATCCCAGTAACCCTGAGCTCTCCCAAGGATTTTCATTTGCATAGGTCAGTCCCCAGATATGGGATACTTACTAGCCTACCATAGCCACATACAATACACCAATTAAAATAACCCTTAACGACCCAACCCTATTCCCAAACTGAGCACAATGCCCCATCTCACTTAAACATAGACTAGGCATAAAACCCCTAATTGATAGATTACTGTTATGATTTTTATGTAGATGTATCCCAAAAGCCTCATGCAGTCTTGGGGCAGCCTCTGGAGTTTGTGATTGATTATTGTGGGTGTGGATGCTACACCTGCCTTGGGGCAGGTAATTTGCATTTCAATGTAAGGAGGAAAGAGAAGTTAGCTGCCTAAGCTGCTGCTGCTCCTTTTCTGCTCTTTCTTTTTGCTCCCAGGGAGGAGTATGTGGTTGCTTCAATGAAGCTGGGTCACAGATGCTAGATTCTTCCCAGGATTATTGTTGGCTCCCAAAATGTATAGGTTGGGGACACTCACCTGGATTCCTCCCATTGGACCAATTCCTGGGTGCTGATTCCTTCTGGGCTGGTTTCTGTGTCTTGCAAAGTAGGGGAAGAGTCTATATACCTGTATTGCTCCAGCTGGACTACTTGCAGTATCCTAGATTCTCTCAGGAACCATTTCCAAGACACATGGCGTAGGGAGCGGAGCCACTTACCTGGATTCTGAGCTGATTTCTAGGCCTCATGGTATGGGGCAAAGTATCAGTCACCTGGATTCCTCTAACCAGGCCAGTTTCTGGGATGTGGATATTTTCCCTCACCTTGCTGGCTCCTCCGATATAGTTAGGGACCAAGAACCTGGATTCCTCCAGCCAAGCTGGTTGCTTGGTCCTGGATTTTTCCCAGGTCAGTTGTGGGTCCCCCATGATGTCAGGAGATGGGTAATTCACCAGGATTCATCCAATTTGACCAGTTGCCAGATCTTCAGTCTTGTCAGGCTAGTTGCCAGGCCCTGGATTCTTTCCCATTGCTAGGTCTTGTAATATAAGGGGAAGGTCTAGTTATCTGGATTCCCTCAGCCTGGCTGCTTTCCTGGTCCTGGATTCTTCATGGGCCTGTTGCTGGGTCCTGAGATATGTGGAGGGGCCAGTCACCTACACTCATCCATCTAGGCTTGTTGGCAGGTTGTGGGCTTTTCCCAGGAAGACTGCCTGATCATGTGATGCAAAATGAGAGGTCAAACACCTAGATTCTTCCAGTCAATCTGATTTCTGGGTTTTAGATTCTTCCTTGGTTCATTTCCAGGTCCTGTGATATAAGGGAAGGGACTGCTCAGCTGGATTACTCCAACTTGGAAGTTGTTCCTGAAATTTTCTGGGCCATTGCTAGGTTCCTGAATGTAGGAGGAGTGATTAGTTTCTTAAATTCCTCATACTTGTTTGGTTTCTGAGCCCTTGATTATTCACAAGTCTATTGGTGAACTTGGATTGTTCTGGGGCCATGTTGTTATTCCTCACAATATAGAGAGAAGTGCAACTCAAAATGGAGTTTTACAGCAAGTTTAATTGTTGGGTCCTGGATTCTTCTTGAGTCAGGTGCTTGGTCCTATCATGTAGGGAGAGGGGATAGTCACTTGGATTCCTCCAAATGGGCTCGTTGCCCTTTCTGGACTTTTGTTAGTCAGTTGCTGAGCCATGGATTCTTCCAGGGTAGGTTGCCTGGTCTTGAAATGTAGAATGAGGGGCAAGTCACCTGCATTTCTCCCACATAACCTGTTGCCTAGTCCTAGAGTCTTCCCAGGATGGTGGCTTTGTCCTGAGATGTAGGGGAGAAGCCAGTCCCCTAGATTCCTCCGATATCACCAATTGCTCATTCTTGGATTCTTCTAGGCCTGTTGTGGGTTCCCTTGAAGTAAACAGACAGGCAAGTCACCTGGGTTCCTCCAGCAGAATGGGTTCTTGGGTCCTTCATTCCATTTAGGTCTGCTGCACAGTTCTGGATTCTCCTCAGATGAGCTGGGGGGCCTCCAACCTGGCAGGTTGTGCATCCTAGAATGTCCCAGATCAGTTGCAAGATTTTGTGCTGTAGAAGGAGTGGTTATTCGCTCAGATTCATCCAATCCAGCTGTTTACTGTGGCCTAGACTAGATGCTTTCCAAGCCAGTTCCAGGGTTGTACCATGTAGATGTTGAGGCCAGTCACCTGAGTTCCTCCAGCTCAGGTAGTTGCCTTGTTTTGCATTCTTCCAGGGCTGTTTTCTAGGGCCCAAGATGTAGGCAGTGGGCCCACTCACATGGATTCCTCCAACCCTGCCAGTGTCGGGTTTTGCACTCTTCCTGGGCTACCTGAACACCTCTCCCCTTCCTCTTGATGCAGAGCAAATGCTATTCACCTGGATTCAGTCAATCAGGCTGCTGGCTGGTCCTAGAGTATTCCAGGGTTGATTGCTAGGTCCCACCTGTAGGGGCAGTGGCTGGTCACCTGGAAACCTGCAGCTTGGATGATTGCCTGATTTTACATAGTTTCCTACTGTTTTCTAGTTCTATATCATAGGAAGAGGGGACAACCTCCTCGGTTCCAACAAATTACCAGTTTGTTTTTAGTTCCTGGATTTTTCTGGGTCTGTTGCTGGGATCCCTGATATATTACTAGGGACATTTACCTGGATTACTCCAGCTAGGACAGTTGCTGTGTTCTGGGTTCTTCCTGGGCTGGTTGACAAGTTATTTTGTGATTTAGGGAAATGGGCCAGTCACCTGGATTACTCTAGCTGGGTTGACTGTGGGTTGTTGGATTCTTCCCAGGCCATTTACAGAAACTTGAATTGTTCTTGGGCAGGTTGCTGGACCTCTGGATTTATAGAGATGGGCCAATTCAGTAAGTTCTTCCGCAAGACTGGGTACTGGATCTGCGATTCTTTTTGAGCCTACTGTGGTGTATTAAGTTGTAGAGAGAGGGACAATTCACCTGGTTTTCTCCAACTGGGCTGGTTTCTGGATTTTTTCTAGGTAGGTTGCCTCGTCCTGCCTAAACTCACTTAAGATTGTGTTTTTTTGTTCAATTTTGGGGGTTTTGAATATTATTTGTGATGGTGATTTTTTTTCTTTTTTTCACTACTTCAATGTATTTTATTTTCCAAATAAAATTTCTTTTTTGCATAATTTTATTGAGAAATAAACTGCAACAAGACAGTTTCAAATAGAATTGCTAGGACAGTTCCAATAATTAACACATTGCATACTGCCTTCCTAGTAGTTATTTGTTGTACAATATGCAGATGTGATGTCCTATTTACAAACACTATTAGAACAAATCCCTCTATTCCTTGAATAAAGAGAATGTAGCTATATATCTATCCTAAACATTTTGAATACACAGATACAAAATGGTCATTCATCTATATCCCCTTTATTTTGTTGAGTTCCATCATTTAAATATTATAGGTGTCTGAATTTAGCAAAACTTTCCAAAATAATCCAGTTGTCCATAATAGTACTGGGTCTTCCACAGACTGGCAATGTCAGAAGTTGTTGAACTGAGTCCCCTACATCTCAACATAACAACATGGCTTTACTTCTTGTACTTCCTTTTTATACTTTTCTGCTGGATGGTTAAGACCAAGTTAAAGCAAGACCTATGTAACAAGAATTGTAGCTTTTGGATCTGATAAGGTCACTCAAATCCACTCAGGATTTATCCTGAGACCTTGTACCTCAGATTGTAGATCCTTTGTCAGGGTCAGCCACATGGATGAGTCACAGCCATTGCTTGGCCAATTTGCTCTCTGTGACAGCCTGAGAGAATGTTTTCTCTCCGTGTGACTCTACATCAGCGATAACTTTCCTGTCTGGCCCCATAATCACCTTGATCAGAAAATTTGGGACACTATCGAGTTACGTGATGTTACAGTACAAGTTCTCATATATCCTGAGTCTTAATTGACCTTGG